AAATCCAGAAAAAAGCCTGGTCCTTTATTGGCGACAATAGTTTTATTTAATTAATTTTACATCCTGTTAAAAGACCGCTATGGTAAAAAGTGTTGTGTCCCTGACAAGCGCAATCAATTCATTCATGCAAAGATTCAATATGTAAAACTCATTTATTTTTTATTTTTTTATTTAAACATCTTTATATATTTTCTCCACATTTACATTCAGACAATGCTGGCAAAGAAGCTTACCATCCATTCCCACTGTTTAAATCTATTTCCATTTTTCCTTTTAATATACAGTAGGTTTGTCACAGCAAACGTCACAACCACTTTTGCTGGAAGCGTATATTCATATAAAGTAAATAGAAATAGAAAAATGAATTCAATTACTTAACATGACCATTACAAGTAGTAAAGTACAGTATGTGTCTAGCCATATGTTTTTATCTTTGTTTTCAATAGAGAGGGGGAGGATTAAGAAAGATGTCAGACAGGCGATTCTGTAGCAGCAATGAATCACTGCTATAAATCACTAGTTGGAATGATTTAGGCTGCTTGCACACTGATCCTAGCAAAAACGCACTTTTGTCGCATTTGCAGTGCGTTACTACAGGACATGTGACTTAAAAAACGCACTACGCGTGTGTTTTTGATGTGTTTTTGCCACGTTATCCATTGATTTCAATGGGGAGGTACGTTTTTGGTGTATTTTTTTTTACGGCACGAAAAATGTACCAAGCAGGACTTTAAAAAATGCATCTGACCCACAACGGATCAGTGTGAAGAGTTTCATAGGAATACATGGTCACACGTTTTTATTCTGGAAAAACGGATCAGTATGAAACCAGCCTAAGGCTAGGTTCACACCTATGCAGGCTGCAGGTGACGTGTTGTTTTTGGTGCATTTTTTTTTACCGCACGAAAAATGCAGCAAGCAGGACTTTAAAAAATGCATCTGACCCGCAATGGGTCAGTGTGAAGAGTTTCGTAGGAATACATGGTCGCACGTTTTTATTCTGGAAAAACGGATCAGTATGAAACCAGTCTAAGGCTAGGTTCACACCTATGCAGGCTGCAGGTGATGTGTTGTCCCCAGTTTTTAATGTGTTTTGTGTTTTTGGGAGGTGTGTGTTGTCATGTGCGAGAACAAAGCAAAAACGCAATGGAAACGCATAAAAAACGCAAGCACTGAATTTTTGATGCATTTCTGCTATGTTTCCATAGAAGCCAAGTTAAAGGAAATCAAGTTAAATGGAGTGTAGCGCGTTTATGGAAAACGCATAAGTGTGAACCTAGCCTAGGCCCCATACACTTTTGGTAGTATGTACCCAAGGAGGAATTCTCGGAATGCAAGAAGTATGTGTTCCGGGCATTCGTCCCAAGGTGCATTCTGCCCTACACATTGGTAGCGCTAGGTGCACCATCCAGAGGCAACAGCCGTTAGCCTGTCAAAAAGTTAAACAGACTGGTGGCGGCGGGATTTGACAACACACTTGTGCCTTCCGCTCCCCCCCTGCAGCTAAATGCCAGAGACCCATGCATCAGGGCTAAATGCTCAGTGTGCATAGGGCATAGCCACGTTTTGTAGCTGGCAGTTCTTAAAGCGGAGCTCCACCCAAAAGGAGAAGTTCCGCTTTAAGCCTTTGTCCCCCGCTTCCCATTAAGGATTGACACCTTTGGGGAGCGGGGGGTGGTACCCAAACTTGACAGATACCCGCCCCCACTTCCGCTGCGATCGGAGGATGTCCTCCCCCCTCTGCCTCCTCCACATAGTTTCCTGGGACACGTGACAGGTCCCAGAAGACTACGTGGCCATTCACAAAGCGCAGAGCTTCTTGCGCATGCGTAGTGGACACCCAGCTGTGAAGCCGCAAGTTGTCACAGCCAGGTGCCCACACTGAAGATGCCGGCACCAGGGAGAGAAAACAACCGGTGAAACCAGCAGTAGTGAAGACACTGCTGGACCGAGGGACAGGTAAGTGTCTGTATTTCAAAAGTCATCAGCTACAGTTTTTGTAGCTGCTGACTTTTTTTTTTTTTCCAGGTGGAACTCCGCTTTAAGATTCGCTTGCCATATGCCACTGATCAGCGATTTGTTGATGCTACAAGTTAAACTAGTGCTATAGCATTGGGCTGGGGTGCTCTGTTGAAGGACAGCGATTTGTAGCAAAGCCATAGAGGTGAGCGCAGAAGAGAAAAAAAAGAATATTTGGACAAAATTAATGTTAATGATTTGAATTTAAAGTTCACTATGACTTCTGATTCTAAAACCATCTCGTTTCTCAATGTACAGATTCACAAAAATGAAGATGGCACTCTAGGTAGCGACTTATATTGTAAGTCTACTGCAGGCAATACTATATTGCATGCACACAGCTTCCATCCCAGTCCACTTGTAGACTCCATCCCCTGCAGCCAATATTTACGGATTACACGTAATTGTTCAGATGACGAGTCCTTTTAAAAGGAAGCAGACAAATTAAAACAACGTCTTTAGGAAAGACGATATTCCTCTACTTGTCTTAAAAAGGCTTTTAAAAAAGCATACAAGAAATATAGACAAGACTTTGCTTTATCAAGCTACCAATAAAAAAGATAATATTCATGTCCGAATAATAACAAAATTCTCCAAACAACATCAGCAATTTAAGAAAATTGTGCAAAAGTATTGGCATCTTCTCACCATTGATCCCACCATTAACATTTTTTTATCTGAGACCCCTAATTTCACCTTCAAATGAGCTAGTTCTATCAGAGATAAATTAGTACATAGTGAATATAAGTCACAAGGAAGATATAACCCCTGTATATATCGAAGTAATGATACATGTGGTGGGTACAATTATGGTCGCTACATGACCACCATCAGATTAGTCATTTTACCCAATGGAGAAAAATAAATACCGAAACACTATGGCAATTGTAAAACAAAGGGAGTGGTTTATCTGTTAACCTACGATTGTAATTGCTTCTATGTAGGAAAAATGAAATTGGAATTTTGGCGCCGGGTCTACCACCATATCTCTAACATGAAGTCCAACAATGTTGAGGTACTGTTGGGACAACACACTGCTGGCTGGGGGTATTTTCCCCAAAATTCAATTTCTGATTAGGGATAGGATCCATCCCAGCCCACGTGGAGGGGGATTGGAACAAAAACCTTCTCCAGAGTGAGTTGAAATGGATTCACAAACTAAGTGCTAAGAATTTTCCTGGTCTTAATGAATCTATGTCTTTCAAGCCCTTCCTTTGTTTCTGTAGGATGTGAAAAGAATTTATGATTTTCCATCCATTATCTATAGGGACATCTATGTTGTCAAAGAATTCAGATATTCTACTGACTATTCGGCATACTCCTCATTATATTAATATTTACATACAAATATATAACTCCATATTTAATGGAGAGCACATAACAATTATTGGGTGTTTGCAGCACTATCAAACTGTATATATTTGTTTATGCATAAAGTGTCATATACTGTACATCTGTATTGTCAATCTGTGTAGCCACTGATCTTTCCCTTTTATTTCTCCTCCCTAGGATTCCAGGTGTCCCCCCCTTTTTTCCCTCTCCCTTCATTGTCGCAGTTTGCCTTCCTGGTGAGAAAAGGCAGCTAGTCCTGCCCAGGCTGAAGTGGAGTTTCTCTTTGACCCTGGAGTGTGGACATGGAAACTGGTTAACATCAGCACAAGGCCTGGTTTAGCCTCCCTCTCCAACCGCCTACACTTTCGTGTTCGCGTTGCGTGACGTCATTGCCCTGCCGTCAGGCGTGGTGACTCCGCAAGCTTAATGGCTGGGGACTGTCTACTATGGACAGCCAGGAGATGATAGGCTACCTCAGCTTGCTCATCCCTCTGTGAATTTGGATTGGTGCAATTCCAAGCCATGCCTCTCCATATTACACGCCATTTTTACTGCCCGCTTTGTACACATGCAGCCATTGGACAGGTCATATTATCCCCTCCTCACATCTGGTATGCCCTTCTATAAATTTTGAGTCTCACGCTCGGTTATACATATATACCAGTCAGATACCGAATACATAAGATTTTTCTATAGATTCAAAAACATCAAAGAGCTCCTACATGTCAGCTTGCAGCGACAATTTTTGTTTTAACGTGTGGAGGATAATGTGCACCTTTCCCTCTAAGTAAGCATACACTTTGCTCGAATGGGGGTAACATTGTTTAGCATTTTTTGCACCAGGATGTTAGAGACTCAATTTCTTTATCACGATCGATATTTTCTAGAGATTATTTGGAATTTTGAAATATCTTGCAGATTCCCCTGGTGGTGCCCTTGGGGGGGGGGGGGCATTCTCAGAGGCAGCAAGGGTGGCGTGATTTTCCGCGTTACACACCTACCTGGGAGGATTTGGGATACAGTGGCTACACATATGCTTTTTGGTTTTACAACAGTGGCGGTCCTTCTTTTGTTAGTTTCAGTGCTGGGATATGTAAGTGATCTTTATATGTTTGTGAATGGATAATGAATAATGGATAATGAATTTCAAATGGATAAATACAGCAATTGTAATACTTATATATTTATATCATAGGCATCATGTCCTATTTAGGCACTTCTGAGGAAGAGATTGGTTGTTATCTCGAAGCGCGTCAAGTGTCCTATCATGATTCGTATCCCACCTTTCTTGCTCATGCACCAATTCTAACCGATATGTAATGTATAACTGCCATATTACGTATGTCTATGCAAACTTTAAACATTTTGTGTGAAATAAATTATGGTTCTAAACTTTTACTAATCTATTGGTCCTATCCGCTTTGTCTGTGCCATAAAAATCCCATAAAAAGAGGGTTGTTTCATATGTGGTCCTGGTGATGATGGCACTGCTTGTTTCCACCCCGCCACTCTCTAAGCCATACAGGTGAGCACGCGGATAAACGCATCTAAATGCGGCAAATCGTTTTTACATTTGAAATTTCTTTTTAACTCTTCCAGTTCCCTATGTTGTCCAGAGACTTTTTTCATCATGAAAAATGCATGCAAAGCGCTTTCAAGCTACTCAGATGGACAAAACACTGAACACAGGATGTTCCTACCAAGCTTGTCACACAATGCAATGACCAATTCACACCTCAGACCTCTCCAGAGCAACTAAGCTTACAATTGTAAAATTAGTGAGTTAAAGTGATATTAAAAGGCAAGGTTTTTGTTTGTTTTTTTTTTAAATAGCAAACATGTTATACGTACCTGCTCTGTGCATTGGTTTTGCATGGAGAAGCCCCAATCCTCCTTTTCTTGGGTCACTCGCCAGCGCTCTTGGCCCCTTCCTCCTGCCTAGTGCCTCCATAGCAAACAGCTTGTTAGCTTGTTATACAGGCACCCAAGCATGCTGCTCTGCGTGTCTATTCACACACAGAGCCGTGACTCGGCTCCGCCCCCTCTCTCTCCTCACTGGCTCACTAGCTGTGATTGACAGTATCGGGAGCCAATATTTTCCACTGCTCTCTCAGTCAATTAGGATGGAGAATCCCCAAGGAGCCGAGGTGAACATTGCTGGATCGAGATGGGGCTCAGGTAAGTATAAGGGGGACTGCTACACAAAAGGTTTTTTACCTTCAGGTATAGAATGCACGCGGCTAAACGCATCTAAATGCGGCAAATCGTTTTTACATTTGAAATTTTTTTTTAACTCTTCCAGTTCCCGATGCTGTCCAGAGCCTTTTTTCATCATGAAAAATGCATGCAAAGCGTTTTCAAGCTACTCAGATGGACAAAACACTGAACACAGGATGTTCCTACCAAGCTTGTCACACATTGCAATGACCAATTCACACCTCAGACCTCTCCCACCCTTGGAAACAAAAGATATGTTAATGACCATTCACACCTCAAATTCCTCATAAAGACCCCCTACCAGGTGGCCTTAAGGACTCCCTCCACCAGACACCTTCCCCACTCTTGGAAACAAAAGAAATGTTAATGAGCAACTCACACCTAAGCTAATCTCAACACATACTGCTATCTCTGCTTTTACTCTCTGTATTTCTCTGAAACAGTCTGAAATAGTTAATAATTTACCACTTTTCAGTGCATTCTGGGCATTTGGGAGGTTCTCCTGTGCTTATCTTTAAAAAGCATTTCTAAATGCAAACGCACATAAACACACATAAATGCGGTATGCAAACGCAGCTAAACAGACGTTTTTTAACCTACGTTTTCCAGCAGTCAGTTTCCATCGTTCAGAAGTGTCCCGTGTACATAGGGCCTTAAGGATTACTTTGTTGATACTATTTATACTGCTACCATCTTTTGCTATCATTCTATGTGGCTGGTCGGTTATGGGATATTAGCTCTGGGCGAATAGTGCAATGATATCATACAAGATACATTTTAGATGTGTGATGTGATGTTAATAAAGGAACATTGATTTTTTTCCTTTTGTCTACCAAGTATCTGTGCCTAGAAAGTCCACATTCCTCCTCTCAATACCGTATATGTGTAAAGTGCTGCGTAAATTGTCGGGGCTATATATTACCAGTGATAAAGTGATATTAAAGTTTTTTTTTTTTAAATAACAAACACGTTATATTTACCTGCTCTGTGCAATGGAGTACAGAGCAGCCCCAGATGCTCCTCTTCTCAGGTCCCCTGCAGGTAATCTTGACTGTTCCCCACTTCTAAGTGCCCTCATAACAAGATGCTATGGAGGCACATGTGTAGATTCGATCCTCAGCCGGGCTGTGTGTGTCTATTGACACAGAGAGCAGCTCGGCCCCGCCCCCCCTCCTTCCTCATAGGCTGTGATTGACAGCAACAGGAACCAGTGGCTCCTGCTGCTGCCTTTAAGTCCAGTGAGGATGGAAAGAAAGGCAGCAGGAAAGGAGAAGATGCACTGGATAGAGATTGGGCTCAGGTAAGGGGCCTGGGAGGGGAGCTGAACAGAAGGCTTTTTACCCAAATGCATAGAGTGAATTAAGGTTGGGAAAAAAAAAAAACTTTTCACATTTAGGACCACTTTAAATATGAAGTTTAATCTGCTTATATTTTGCCTTCCCTGTTTCTTTCTTTCCCTCCTCATTTTAGACTCAGTGATTCCATCATTGGGTCTCTGGGCTTCTCTATAGAATGCAGGCAGAGCAAGGCTGCTGGGAGGGGCCCACAGGGAGCTGAACATTGCTTCCTGAAAACATCAATCCTCTCAACAGCCCTCAGTCTTGATGAAAGCAGTGGGCCGGCTCTTAGGAGGAGTTATGCAAATATCAAAGTGCCTTGATGGGTCGATGTCAGTCTGGAGGAATGGGCATTCCTAAGCAGGTTGTATTTACATGTAGACCACCCTAAGTAACACCTACAGTGAAGGAAATAAGTATTTGATCCCCTGCTGATTTTGAATGTTGTCCCACTCACAAAGAAATGATCAGTCTAAAAATCGAAAGGTAGATGTATTGTAACACTGAGAGACAGAATAGCACAAAAAATTCAAAAGAAAGGCGTCTAACAAATGATGCACTGATTTGCATGTTCATGAGGGAAATAAGTATTTGATCCCTTATCATTCAGCTGGATTTCTGGCTACCAGGTGTCTTTCATACAGGTAACAAGCTGAGATTAGAAGCAGTCTCTTAAAGGGAGTGCTGCTAATCTCATCTTGTTACCTGTATAAAAGACACTTGTCCACAGGAGCAATCAAACAATCAGATTCCAAACTCTCCACCATGGCAAAGACCAAAGAACTGTCCAAGGATGTCAGGGACAAGATTGTAGACCTACACAAGGCTGGACTGGGCTACCAAACTATCGCCAAGCAGCTTGGTGAGAAGGTGACAACAGTTGGTGCAATCATTCACAAATGGAAGAAACACAAAACAACTGTCAGTCTCCCTTGGTGAGTGGGCAAACATTCAAAATCAGAAGGGGATCAAATACTTATTTTCTTCACTGTACAGTCCACGCTAAGTCTCCATGAAACTGAAAAAAACTGAAACTCAATAAATGAAAGGGGCGGGTCAGGGACAGGCAGGCTAGATGATGCTGGACGTCCTCCAGCCAGGAAATGAGGCGGGCTCTCTGACTTGCTGCCGCTTCTAATGCACATGGTGAGAAGCTCACAGTGTGCAGTGAAATCAGAGTAAGCCATTTCAGTCCAGGAGAGGAGGAAAAGGAAGGCAGGAGCACATGGTTTTACATGGAGAAGGAAACCATCTTTTCATGTGCTGGCATATCCCAAAACTGCGCTGACCCAGCGTGCGGCTTTCAGTGCAGAAGAGTGAATGGGGCCTTAGTAATAGTGTCAGAAGGATGAAATGACGGGAAATGTTCTCTCTGTATGGACAGTGAAGGTGAAAGTGGAGTGAAAAGCGTCAGAAAGGCATACGATATCACACGCGAGAAAGCAAAGGCGTGTGGAAGGAACCCCGCTGGGACGCCTGTACGCTCTGCTTTCCCCTACAAATAATGGTCTGACTTAATGACTTAATTCTGAATTACGATGTCTGTGATCTGCTCTTCATTTGAGTAAATGAAAGTAATTAGGAATTCTTTGCTGAAGTCACAATATTCCCCAGCCCTGTCTTCAAAACCGGCGCAATCAGCGGGCTCCCCGGGCACAGCCGACATTACCATACCGACGGACATTAAACACCCATTGGATGTGAATTACGGCACTCGTTTGAAGTCCCATTGCTGGTGATATATATTTAATACACCTAGAACGTTCTCTGTCATCTTTCCACTTGCCAGCATTAGAGGAATCTACAAGATGATAAGAGAAAGGGGATTTGTCGCCTGGCTGGGTCAGTTTGTTAAAGTCCGTCCACCTAAAACTGGGATTTTAGTGCCAGGAAGACCAGTGCTAAGATTCTGCACTGAAATTCTGCCTCTGCGCACCTGCTGGGCCCATTATGAGGGTTCCCCACCATCCCTGTACTGAGTTCCCAGATCTGTACATCTGTTGTATCCATTATGAGGGTCTCCCACATGGGCAGCACAGTGGCTAAATGGTTAGCACTTCCGCCTGGCAGTACTAGGGTCGTTGGTTCGAATCCCAGCAATGGCACCACCTGCCTGGAGTTTGCATGTTTTCCCTGTGCCTGTGTGGGTTTCCTCCGGGTACTCTGGTTTCCTCCCACACTCCAAAGACATGCTGGTAGGTTAATTGGCTCCTGTGTCTAAATTGTCCCTAATATGTGTATGTATGAATGTGAGTTAGGGACCTTAGATTGTACGCCCCTTGAGGGTTAGGGACTGATGTGAATGTACAATATATATGTAAAGCACTGCGTAAATTGACAGCGCTATATAAGTACTTGAAATAAAAATAAATAAATCCCTGCACTGAGTTCCCAAGTCTATACATCTGCTGTGCCCATTATGAGGGGCTCCAACCATCCCTGTGCCGAGATCTCAAGTCTGTACATCTGCTGTGCCCATTATGAGGGGCTCCAACCATCCCTGTGCCGAGATCTCAAGTCTGTACATCTGCTGTGCCCATTATGAGGGGCTCCAACCATCCCTGCCTGAGTTCTCAAGTCTGTACATCTGCTGTGCCCATTATGAGGGGCTCCAACCATCCCTGTGCTGAGATCTCAAGTCTAAAAAAAACCCACAAAAAAACACAAAAAACACAAAAAAAAAAAAGCGTCAAAAACGCCGCTAAACGCGAATGCAAAAACGCTAAAATACGCTGAAGAACACTCACATTTTTCACGTGACTTTACACAGCTAACGTTACCAGTGTTATTAAAACGCCCCCGTGTGCATGGAGCCTTAACAGTAAGTGGCCCCAACCTTTGGCCAATGAGACAAGAGAAGAATGACAGCGTACAGTTTGTTAGTACAGTCTGAGAACAAACTAGCAGTGCTGGGTCCAGGGCTAACTTAGTTCCTAGATTTTCAAGTGAACGTTTATATGAAAATTCTCAGTACATTCGATAACTTGATAAACATCAGTACCTCAAAACTTCGTTTGCTTATAACATTCGATTTTGGAGTGAATGGACTTTACCGAACAAAAACCATGCTCCCTGTTAGAAATTAATTCGAGAAAGGTTTTCCATCCCACTCTTTTAAATTTTCTTGCCACTGTGGTCAAAACCGAACTTGGATTTGACCCCGCTAATGATTAGGAAATCAAACGAACATTCTTACCCTCTCTAGCGGTCTGATTATATCAGTATTTCTGTGCTCAAAGCGGTACATTTTTGTGCATGGAAATATGTATTTTTTTTATTATAGGCATGTAATTTTTAGGAATAACTCACTGAAATCTGTCCAAACAAGAGTCTAGTAAACATCCCGGGTATGATACAATTTGAAACACGAAATCATAAATTATAATTTAATAAATAATCATAAAAAATAATATAATAATAAATTTAATTCAATAATATAATCAAACCAAAACCACTGAAATCTGAAATAGAGCCAATGGACTAGATTGGGTGTCGGCAACCCGCGGCTCTTTTTCACCTTTCCTGCGGCTCCGGAGCACACTGCCCACCAGGTGACAGGCAATAGGGTCGGCAAGCCGCGGTTCTTTTAATGTAGATCTTCTGTGTGCCGGGCGCCCGCTGGCAAACATTGGCTGTCAGGATGTAGGCGGGGCAGCCCGGATGTAGGCGGGGCAGCGTGACGAACTCCTCTCCTCTCACAGTCCGCCCTGAAGACCAGAACGGTAATGCAGCAGAGGAACGGCGCGGAGCAAAGGTAAGTGAATTCACACAATATGGGGAATGAATTACTATGGGGGGATGAAATTACTATAGGGGGGATGAATTACTACGGGGGATGAATTTACTATGGGGGATGAATTACTATCTTAGGGGTCGAATTAACGGGGGATGAATTTATGGGGGATGAATGATATGACGAATTTATAGGGGGGATGAATTTATCACTC